AGTTAAAGGCTCTGCCTTTGGCTCAGGTCATGATCCCATGGTCGTGGGATAGAGTCCCGTATTGGGCTCTCTGCTCATCAGGGAGCCTGCTTCCTCCTCTCTCTCTCTGCCTGCCTCTCTGCCTACTTATAATCTCTATCAAATAAATAAATAAAATCTTAAAAAAAAAAGTGCTTTAGAGGAAGAAAAATAATGGGTCAGAAACTCAGATCTACGTAAGTAAAAGAAGAGCACTCAAGAAGAAATAAAACAAGGTAAAATAGTAACTTCATTATTCTTAATCTAACAAATAATATTTAGTTCAAAATAAAAACAGCAACAACATATTTGATATGTAAGCTTACATATATACATTATGTACATACACATATATATGTGTCAATGTATGATTATATATAAGTGTAATGAACAATAGCAATAATATGAAAAAACTGGAATTATTTTGTTATTACAAGACTCTCACACTACTGTCCAGTAGTATAGTGTTATGTGAAAGCAGATTTGGATTATTGCAAACTCTAGGGCAGCTACTATCAAAAGTTAAAAAAAAAAAAAAAGTAAAACTGATATGCTAAGGAAGAGAAAATGGAATCACATAAAATACTCATTCAGAACCACAACAGGCAGAGGCTGGGAAGATGGTGGAGTAAGAGGACCCTAAGGTCACCTCTTCCCATGAATACAACTAAGTAACACTCATATCAACATAAATAATCCAGAAAACAACCCTAAGACTGGCAGAACAAACTCCACAACTAAAGGTAGAGAAGAGGCCACAGCAAAGAGGATAGGAAGGACAGAGACATGATGGGGAGCCAAAATGACTACTGACATCTGGGGTTGGAAGGCGCTGCCCACAGAAAGAAAAGTGAGAAACAGACTGTCACATCAGGGAACCTGCACCAGGAAGACAAAGTCCCGTAATATTTGGTTTTGAAAACAACAGGAGCCAACTTTCATATGTCCTTTTCTATTTTTAAGTTTTATTTATTTCTTTTAGTAGTCTGTATACCCAACATGGGCCTCAAACTCAAGACCCCAAGATCAGGAGTCTCATGTTCTTCCAACTGAGCCAGCCAGGTGCCCCAACTGAGTTCTTAAAATCACAGGGACTTAAAACCTGAAATTTCAAAAATTAGCAAGCTTGGTTCTGGGACAGACCAGAGGGAACAGCAAATTGAGTTGCCACCCTGAAAAAGACAGCACAACAAAGAGCTCATGGAGATATGGTATAGAATCAGCAGTTTGAAAAATGGGTAGCATGGGCGTGCCTGGGTGGCTCAGTGGGTTAAGCCTCTGCCTTCGGCTCAGGTCATGATCTCAGGGTTCTGGGATCGAGCTCCGCATCGGGCTCTCTGCGCAGAGGGGAGCCTGCTTCCCCCTCTCTGTCTGCCTGCCTCTCTGCCTACTTGTGATCTCTGTCAAATAAACAAAATCTTAAAAAAAAAAAAAAAAAAAAAAGGGGGGTGGCATACAGGAGGGAGAGCTATTTACTCATCTCAGAGGTATCCTGGGGGGGTAGGGATCACAGGAAGACCCCAGCCAGGAACAAAGGAGCTATCAAGCACCTTTTCCCTCCACTGCCCCTAAGCATAAACACACAACCACCTACAGGAACAAGTGGGCCAACACTCACTACATAACTTGATTACACCAAGACCAACCCTCTCATGCTTCAGCAGATGGCCCTTTCCAGTCATGCTTCCATCATTCCAAGTACTCTGGGTTCCTCCCCCAGAAGACCTGTGCAAACCTTGCCATCACAACATCTCCCAACCAGCTTTATGGGTCCTCCGTTCTGATGGCCATAGTGGCACACCAGTCCCTACAGAAACCTGAGTTGTACCTTGTTAAAATTGCACACCCCACCTACACAGCTCTTAGTGCCTATGACAGAAGCTGCAGATCTCATTTCACAAGCACATCTGCATACATCAGTGGGTTAAAGCCTCGGCCTTCAGCTCAGGTCATGATCCCAAGGTACTGGGATCAAGCCCCACATCTGGCTCTCTGCTCAGCAGGAAGCCTGCTTCCCTTCCTCTCTCTCTACCTGCCTCTTTGCCTACTTGTGATCTCTGTCAAATAAACAAATAAAAATCTTTAAAAAAAAAACCTAAAAAAAAAAAAAACTGATGCCACAGGGTACAAAATCAATGCACAGACGTCAGTTGCATTTCTATACACTAACAATGAGACAGAAGAAAGAGAAATTAAGGAGTCAATCCCACTTACAATTACACATAAAACCATAACATACCTAGGCATAAACCTAACCAAAGAGGCAAAACACTCATGAGAGAAATGGAGGAAGACACAAAGAAATAGAAAAACGTTCCATGCTCATGAATTGAAGAACAAATACCATTTAAATGTTCATGCTACCTAGAGCAATCTACACATTCAATGCAATCCCTATCAAAATACCATCAACTTTTTTCACAGAGCTGGAACAAATAATCCTAAAATGTGTATGGAACAAGAAAAGACCGTGAATAGCCAAAGGAATGTTAAAAAAGAAAACCAAAACTTGTGGCATCAGAATTCTGGACATCAAGCCCTATTACAAAGCTTGACCACCAAGACAGTATGGTACAGGCACAAAAACAGACACACAGATCAATGGAACAGAAGAGAGAACCCAGAAATGGACCCTCAACTCCATGGTCAACTAATCTTTAACAAAGCAGGAAAGGTTATCCAGTGGAAAAAAAGACAGTCTCTTCAACAAATGGTATTGGGGAAACTGGACAGTCACATGCAGAAGAAAGAAACTGGACCATTTCCTTATACATAAAAACAGACTCAAAATGGATGAAAGACCTAAATGTGAGACAGGAATCTATCAAAATCCTAGAGGAAAACACAGGCATCAACCTCTGTGACCTCAGCTAGAGCAATTTCTGGCTAGACACTTCTCCAAAGACAAGGAAAACAAAGGCAAAAAAATGAACTACTGGGACTTCAAGATAAAAAGCTTTTGCACAGCAAAGGAAACAGTTGACAAAACCAAGACAGTTGACAGAATAGGAGAAGATATTTGCAAATGACACATCAGATAATGGGCTAATATCAAGATCTATAAAGAACTTATCAAACTCAACACCCAAAGAACAAATAATCCACTCAAGAAATGGGCAGAACACATGAACAGACATTTCTGCAAAGAAGACATCCAAATGACCAAAAGACACATGAAAAAATGCTCAATGTCACTCAACATCAGGGAAATACAAATCAAAACCTCAATAAGATACCACCTTACACCAGTCAGAATGGCTAAAATTAACAAGTCACGAAACGACAGATGTTGGGGAGGATACAGAGAAAGGGGAAACCCCTTACACTGTTGGTAGAAATGCAAGCTGGTGCAGCCACTCTGGAAAACAGTATGGAGGTTCCTCAAAAAGTTGAAAATAGAGCTAACCTACAACCCAACAATTGCACTACTGGATATTTACCCTACCCCAACGACACAAACGTAGTGATCTGAAGGGGCACGTGCACCCAAATGTTTATAGCAGCAATGTCCACAATAGCCAAACTATGGAAAGAGCCCAGATATCCTTTGACAGATTAATAAAGAACTCTATGTGTGTGTGTGTGTGTGTGTGTGTGTGTGTGTGTGTGTGTAATGGAATACCACTCAGCCATCAAAAATATGAAATCTTGCCATTTGCAACGACATGAATGGAACTAAAGGATATAACGCTAAGCAAAATAAGTCAATCAGAGAAAGACTATCATATGATATCACTCATATGTGGGTTTTAAGAAATAATATATAGGGGAAAAAAGGGAAAAATAAAACAAAATCAGAGAGGGAGACAAACCGTAAGACTCTCAATCACAGGAAACAAACCAAGGGTAGCTGGGGGTGGGGGAGAGTGGGGGATGGGATAACTGGGTAATGGACATTAAGGAGGGCCCGTGATATACTGAGCTCTGTGCATTATGTAAGATGAATAAATCACTGAACTCTACCTCTGAAACAATACATTATATGTTAATTAATGATTATGTTAATTAATTATATATTAATTAACTGAATTTAAATTTTAAAAATACTGTGGACCTGTAAAAAAATAAATAAATTTTTTAAAATTAAAAACAAAAGAGATTGTCAGAGTAGATAAAAAAACAAGGCCAAACTATATGTTATCTACAAGAAACCCACTTTAAAAAGAAAGACACTTTAAAAGTAAACAAATGGAGAAAAATATACTGTGCTAACACTAATCAAAAGAAAGCAGGAGTAATTTCAGACACAGGAGACTTCAGGGTAAGTAGTTATCAGGAATAAAGCAAGGCATTACATAATAATAATATGGTCAATGTTCTAAGAAGACAACAATCTTTAATGTGAACGCACCTAACAACAAAGTGTCAAAATGTGAGGCAAAAACTGACAAAACTGCAAAGAGAAATAAATGGATTCACAATTATATTTGAGACTTTCACACTCTTCTGTCAAAAACGGACAGATCCAGAAAGTCAGTAAGGAAATAAAGCATACTCTTACCACACAGCAATTATGCTCCTTGGTACTTACCCCCAAAGGAGGTAGAAACTTATGTCTACACAAAAAATTGCACATGGTGTTAATACCAGCTTTATTCGTAATTGCCAAAACCTGGAAGCTACCCAGATGTCCTTCAGTAGCTGAATGGATACATAAACTGTAGTATATCCAGATGATAAAATATTATTCAGTACTAGAAAGAAAAGAGCTATCAAACCATGAAAAGAATTAAATGCATGTTACTAACTGAAAAAAGTCAATCTGAAAAGCCTACCCAGTATATGATTCCAACTATATGACATTCTAAAATAAGCAAAATTCAAGACAATAAGATCAGGGATTGTGGCTGGCAGCGGGGAGAAAGGGGAACAGAAGATTTTTACAGCAGTAAAAATACTCTATATGGTATTATAATGATGGATATATGTCACTATACTTTTGTCCAAACCCAAAGAATGTACAACAGTAAGAGTGAATCCTAGTGCTCGTTTCAGCAGCACATCTACTAAAATTGGAAAGACAGAAGATTAGCATGGCCCCTATGCAAGGATGACACACAAATTCTTGAAGCAATCCATATTAAAAAAAAAAAAAAAGTGAATCCTAAAGTAAACTATGGTCTCTGGATGATAATGACGTATCAATGTAGGTGCATCCTTGGTTAAAAAAAAAAATATATATATATATAAGTTCTGATAAATGATGTTGATAATGGGTATATAAGAAATCTCTGTACTGCCTTCTCAATTCTTGTTGTAAATGTAAAACTGCTCTAAAAAATTGTCTATAAAGCAATAATAATGTTAACATTTTTGTTTCTGAAAAGCAAAGTACACCAGTGTTTGTTCAACATTTATTAACATTTTCAATTAATCATTTTAAATATCCAATAAACACTAGAGAAACTCAATTAATAAATAACAGACAAGCTTGAGACCTATTCCTCAGATTGTTCTAAAACCCGTATCATATTTTAAATTTGTAAGCGATTTTTACTTTTTGGATAGTAGAGACAATTATTTTTAATTTCACTAATAAAGAAAAAACTCAAGCCTTTTAAAAACCAAATGGCCACCCAATAATCAACTTAATGAAATGAGTTATTATATATAAAAGAACTTAAACCAGTGTCTGGCACATAGTAAATACTCAATTGTTAGCTGTATCTCTACATTTATCAAGTTCTTTCCATCTGACCAAATAATTCCTAAACTGTCCAGACACAATAATATTTTCCACTTACCTTTTTTTTGATAGAGACAGAGAAAGTGCATGCACATGCCCATGTTAGCAGTGGAGAGGCAGGCACAGAGAGAGAGGGAGAAATAATCTTAGCAGGCTCTATGCCCAGCACAGAGCCCAATGCAAATCTCAATCTCACAACCCTGAGATCATGACCTGAGCTGAAATCAGGAGTCACTTAACCAACCCAGGCACCCCTCCACTTATCATTTAAATTTCCAGCAATTTTCAACATCCTGAATTCTCATATTTTTATAAAATTGGTACATATTTCTTCCATTTTCACTGACACCAAGAGCATCTTCTAAAACAAGGATTTATGGGGAAAGTATTTCTCAAAAACCGTTAAAAGTAAAATTAAAACAATTACCTCTAAAAATTTTTTTTTCTTTTCTTTAAATTTTTTTCTTTTCTTTAAATTTTTTTCTTTTTTTTATTAATTTTTTTATTTTTTTATTAACATATAATGTATTATTAGCCCCAGGGGTACAGGTCTGTGAATCGCCAGGTTTACACACTTCACAGCACTCACCATAGCACATACCCTCCCCAATGTCTATAACCCCACCACAGTCTCCCTACCCCCCTTACCCCCGGCAACCTTCAGTTTGTTTTGTGAGATTAAGAGTCTCTTACGGTTTGTCTGAAAAAAAAATTTTAATATTGAATACAAATAAGCATTACTTTTGACAAGTATTCTTGAGTTTTTAGGAGAGGGTAAGTTATCTAACTCCATTAATAAAAGCTACCTTAGTGATTTGTCCAATTATTCAAATATATGTAGCCAACAGAATTTAGACTTTTTTTTTTTTCCATAAAAGGCCTAAACTAAGGATGGAAATATCTAAGTAGTTAGAACTCAGTATGAAGAAGAAAACCTCAGTAAGGTTATGGCTGATGCCTACGTTTACATTATCAAAACTTTGAAGATTTGTTTCTTTCAAAGATACCACAGCTAGGCAAAAAACAAAACAAAACAAACAAAAAAACCCCACTGTTTATTTTCAAGAATTTAAGATAAAATCACCTATTTCTTCACACTTGCTCATTGCTGTTTTGAAATTAATTCCAAAGATAGTCTATATATTAACAATGCCCCTTTTATCTTCAAATATGAAGTATTATTTTTATAACAAAATACAAAATAGCTTTCTGAAATGTTCTTAAGGTGAAGCAAAATTCACTACTCATTCTACATAAAACACCAGTGAGTAATATGCTATCTTATGCAATATTCTTAACCTATTACAACTAATTATACAGATAAAAAATTATAAATTTTATAAATTGTAATGGTACACTTACAAAGTATGTAACAGAAATATTTGTAAAAAATTTACAACCTTAAAAATATTAATTCATTATTTTAAAAATCAAAGTTATATCTACATGCAAAAGACTGAAATTGGACTGCTACCTCACACTATCTAGAGAAATTAACTAAAAATTACCAATGACCTAAATATAATAAACTCTTGGAAGAAAAATTCTAAGAAGAAAATCTAGGAGAAAATCTTCCTGACTTTGGATCTGGCAACAGATTCTTAGATACGACACCAAATGCACGAACAACAAAAGGAAAAAATAAGATATACTGGACTTTGTTAAAATTTAAAAATTTAGGGGAGGCTGGGTAGCTCAGTAGGTTAAAGCCTCTGCCTTCGGCTCAGGTCATGATCTCAGGTCATGGGATCAAGCCCTGCATCAGGCTCTCTGCTCAGTGGGGAGCCTGCTTCCTCCTCTCTCTCACCTGCCTCTCTGCCTACTTGTGATCTGTCTGTCAAATAAATACATTTTTTTTAAAAATCTTTTTTAAAAATTTTTAAAATTTAGTGCATCAAAGAAATTATCAAAAAAGTGAAAAGACAACCTACAGAATGGGAAAAATACCTGCTTATCATATATATAGTTTCTAAGTGTCTAATATTCAGAACATATAAAGAACTATTATAGCTCAACAACCCAATTAAAAAATGGACAAAGAGGGGCGCCTGGGTGGCTCAGTGGGTTAAGCCGCTGCCTTCAGCTCAGGTCATGATCTCAGGGTCCTGGGATCGAGTCCCGCATCGGGCTCTCTGCTCTGCAGGGAGCCTGCTTCCCTCTCTCTCTCTCTCTCTCTGCCTGCCTCTCCATCTACTTGTGATCTCTCTCTGTCAAATAAATAAATAAAATCTTTAAAAAAAAAAAATGGACAAAGATGTGAACAAAATTTCTCCAAAACAGATATATACAACAAATGCCCAACAAAAATATGAAAAGATTCTGGACATCATCAGACATCAGGGAAATGCAAATTAAAATGACAATGCAATGTCACTTCATATCCACTAGGACGGCTATTCAAAAAGAAGAGAGAAAAAAAAAAGAAAAGAACAGTAACAAGCATTGCTGAGGATGCACCTTCTCCTATTATAAGAATTGTTTAATCACTATATAGAGAAACTGGAACCCTCATACATTGCTGGTAGGAACGAAAAATGGTTCAGATGCCGTGGAAACATTTTGATGGTTCCTCAAAAAGTTAAATATAGAATTACCATATGTCCTAGCAATTCCACTCCTAGGTATATACTCAGAAGGACTGAAAATAGGTACTCAAACAAATGCATACAGAATCATGTTTGTGGAAGCACTACTGACAAAGGAGGACAGAAGCCAGATGTCCACCAACATATGAACAGAGAAACAAATTGTGGTATATACATACAATGGAACTATCCAACCATAAAAAAGAATGAAGTACTGATAAATGCTACAACTTGGATGAACCCTGAAACCATTATGCCACATGAAAAGAGGCAGACACAAAAGGTTGCCTATTATATGATCCCATTTACATAAAGTATCCAGAATAGGTAAATCCATAGAGACGAAAAACAGATTATTGGTTACCAGGTACTGGGGATGAGGGGAAAATGGGGAGTAACTGCTTTATGGGTACAGGGTTTTCTTTTATAGTGATGAAATGTTTCAGAAGTAGACAGAGGTGGTGGTTGCACAACTTTTTAAATGTACAAAATGCCACTGAACTGCTCACTTTAGAATGGTTAATGTTATACAATATGAATTTCACATCAATAAAAAAAAAACTTAGAAACTAAAGTTATATATTCTTAGTATAAGGTCAAGTTTATGTATTCATTTATCATTTTCAACAAAGAATGAAAAACCTGGATTCTTATTCTAACATTAGCTTGCTGCAGGAATGGCGGGGGAGGGGCATCTTTTGTTTGCCTCTCCAGTTAAAAAGGGACACCTTCTCCTATTATAAACTAATAAAATTATGAATTTCCCAGTCACACAATTTGGATGAGTTTGACCTCACTCCTAAATCAAGAAGTGATCACTGACTGGCTTAACCCAAGCAGTGAATGTGTTCCTCTTTAACAGTATGGTTGGTTGAAGATAAGCAAGCAACCCAATATGCCCCTATGAGATATGAGGAGAAAAAAGCAGGGGAAAAAAACTTCCCCATCATTCCTTTTTTCTTTTTAATTTTAATTCCAGTAAAGTTAACATATAATGTTATATTAGTTTCAGGGGTACAATATAGTGATTAAACAATTCTATATATTACCCAGTGTTCATCAAGTGTACTCTTAATCCCCTTCACATACTGCACCATCGCCTATCCACCTCCTCTCTGGTAACCATCTGTTTGTTCTCTATAATTAAGAGTCTGCTTTTTGGTTTCTCTCTCTTTCTTTCCTTTGTTCATTTGTTTTGGTTCTTAAATTCCTCATATAAGTGAAATCATATAGTATTTATCTTTCTCTGACTAACTTTGCTTATAATCCAGCATTATACTCTCCAGCCCTATCCATGTTGTTGCAAATGCCAAGATTCATTCCGTTTTATGTCTGAGTAACATTCATGTGTACGTGCACTGGCGGCTGCTTCTTTATCCATTCATCTATCTATGGGCACTTGGGCTGCTTCCACAAATTGGCTATTGTAAATAATACTGCAATAAACACAGGGGTGCGTGTATCCTTTTAAATTAGTACTTTCTTTTTCTTTGGGTTCCTGCCATTCCCTCTAAGCCTATAAGAGAAAGCAACTATTTTGTTTACCTCGATGCAAACTTAGAAAGACGGCACTGTGAAGAGAAAACAGAAGCCAAGATATAAAATGAAGACAAAATAATGGTTACATTATTGAGCTGGATCAAGCCTTATCTACAGCTGTACTTTTCAGTAATAGGTCAATAAATTTTTAAGATCATCTGAGTTGAGTTTCCTATTATTTACAAACAAAAGCATCTAAAATTATATACTACCTAAATGACCTTTCAAAAACAAACTGTCTTCAATTACCTTACCCGCAAAAGCAATAATCTCTA